TATCTATCTATCTATCTATCTATCTATCTATCTATCTATCTATCTATCTATCTATCTATCTATCTATCTATCTATCTATCTATCTATCTATCTATCTATCTATCTTATATGCTGCCCACTCTACCCAAAGGTCTCTGGGTGGCTTACAACAATCAAAATTCAATTAAATTACAATAAAAGATAAAATTATTAGAATACAATTAAAATTGCCATCAGGACCCACAGTTGATGTTATTTCAATTAAAAGCCTTCTGGAACAGGAAGGTTTTGACCTGGCACCGAAATGTCATCAATGTATTTGCCCTTATTCTTCTTACCAAGCAACAAGTGAAAGGATTTGCTCTGAGATACAAACGAAGAGGGGAAGTTTTTAAGAAAACAGGAATTTGTGAACACCCCACTCTTAGTTTAGATATACACTACTGTTAAGACCAGTGCTAGCTGTCCCACCATCTTAATTTCTCTGGGACTGCATGGGATGCTGTATGACCCCAGGTAAACCACTGCTTGTTAAAACACAGGCAGGAAGGATTATGGAGGATGATGGGAATGACACAAGGGACTGGGACCACAGGGAAAGAGCAAGAATAGCACAGAGTACGGCATGGGGGTTGGAAATTACTGGAGAACTTGGAGATGCAGCAGAAGTTTGGAGAGCAATTGGGCAGGAAGGCAATTGGGAATAACAAGAGGGTGGGGAAGGGTAGAAGAGAGAGTTGTAGATGTGCACGCACACACACTCACAGATGAGCATGTGCAGTAGGACATGAAAAAGGAAAGGAACATTGTGTGAGGATAAATAGTTCATTGTTTGAGGTGGAGGAGAGATTGGAGGGCTGATCTAATTAGGAGAGGGGGAAAGTTGTTGAAGAGTTAATTAGAAAAATTGTATTTAGGTATTGAACAGGGGAAAAATAATTTAATGGTCATCCTATAAATTTAAGGAGATTATCTGTATAGGGATTTGGTTTAGGAGGTCAAAGATGCAGTTTGATATACTTGCTTTTAACTCAGCCTCTACGGAGCCCCTCAGTTTTTTGTGTGCTGCTTAACAACTATTTTCTGACACTTTCTTAGATTGTGAAGAGATTGGGATTGATTATCCAATGGCAGGACATTTTCACCAGTTTGTATTAGAAACAACTGGATCCTGTTTGTGCTCCTTAAGACACCCAGATCAGTTATTGGAAGAAATGAGATTAGATAGTGCAGCAAAATATTTGCGTGTTCTTTTGTCCACTTGCTGCTCGAGCTTGACTTTCAGTGACAAATGCATCTGGCCAGGATGATGCTGCATTGCATTTCCACTGAGAGAACTGCCTCCATCAGCAGAAGTGAGCAGGGCATGATCCCGGTCTGCACATGAGACCTCCCATGTCCCTTCAAAACCTATTCCTGAAGTCTAGTTTTGGGAAGATACAGAGGGCTGGAGGGTGGAAAGGGAAATGTCAATTTTGCTGTCAGACATCAATTAGTGCAGCATTAGATATAGTGATGTGTCTGTGCTCAGTGATGGAGGAACTTGCACTCTGGTGTCACTTAAAAAAAAAAACCAAAGAAATTTTTAAAAGCACCACTATTCTTGAAATGGAGTTTTGTAGCAATGCTACTGTTTTGTCAGTGACACCATTATGGGGTGGATTTTGATTATAACTCATCAAATAAATTCTCATGTAAAACCTTAAAACTTATAGGATTCTATCAGAAAGAGTTTGTTTAATATGGATTAAAAATAAATCTCTCTCTTGCCTTATTCCAAAGTGGCGTAATAGGAGAGCGTTTGCCTATCCGATATTATCTCACAGGAGGAATGTTTGCCAGTGGACTCTTCACTGCAATGTTTGGGTTTGGCTATTTCTACAACATACACAGTCTGTGGTTCTACATTGTGGCTCAGGTAGGCCCACCTGTGTTTATTTTTCTCTTATCTCCATTAAAATTCCCATTATAGCGCAAGGATATAAGAAACTGCCTTCCTTCAACTAAAGTCAATTTAATCGCACTTTCTGAAAATTAGAAGTGATTTACTGGATCACACCAAAGGCCCATCTAGTCCACCATTTTGTTCCCCTAGTAGCCAACCAGATGCCTTCCTTCAACTAAAGTCAATTTAATCACACTTTTTGAAAATTAGAAGTGATTTACTGGATCATACCAAAGACCCATCTAATCCACCATCTTATTCCCCTAGTAGCCAACCAGGTGCCTTTGTGAAGCCCATAAGCAAAACATAAATCCAGTACTATTGTTCAATTTGTATTCCACTTCCATAGAGCAGCATTCTGTCTTTTGATAGAGGAGGTAGTACAGACGTCTTCAGCAATAATACCTCTCCATAAATTTGTCTAAGGCCTTTTACCAACTAACCAGGTTGGTGGCAACCCATAGCAATCTCATGAGTTCTTTTCTGGTTAGATTAAGTCATTCAGCACATATCTATAATTTGAATCCCCACCACCCACAACATGCATTACTTTAAACTGCAGTTTCAAAATTTTAAGTAGACCATGACTTCTGGGTCATCCTATCTACATTGTTCTTGTTTTATTTTAGGAACTTGGAGAGGTTAGTGACTTACATCAACTTACATTGATTCATCTTCTGCAGGGCATGTCTTTGTTTGTATTTCTTGATTGTTTATTTTCAATAATACTGTCCATCTAGACAAGGCATAAAACTTTGGTTGGTTCTGCAAATACCTGTCTGTTTTTTTTAATTAAAATCATACTGTCAACTTTACAATCACCCATTTCTATTAGAACACCAACAGTTTCACATCTGAGTTCCGTAAAAACACTCATTTGGTTATATGTAGCAGTTGATTGTTTTCAGTTTGTCTAGAAGGTCTAGAACTTCAACTTTGACCATTGTTCAGTTCACTTTCTTGAACCCTCTTTTCTGAAAATGTTAATTCAAGGACAGATATTTGCCCCTACAGCTTATAAAATAAAGAGTTGACTTGTCTTCTCCTGTGATCTTTATTATCCTTGATGCTCTTGACTACTTCTTTTGATTTCCTTATTTTTAATAATGTTCTTCTGCTGAAGTCAAATGTGGCTCTGATGGACGGCCTTAACAAGTTTTAGTTTACATATACATCCCGATGGTACCGTTGTCATTGTTTTCAGCACAAAAAATCCTGGTGTACTTTGTGACATCTAATGGTAGGTCTAAAAGAGATCCATGTTAAGAAGCGTTCCAGGGTTTCATGTGACTAGCCTGTGTGTTTAATGAGATTAAACTTGAGGAAAACATGTGGTTCCGAAAGAATCTAGCATTAGTGAAGTTTCTGCATAGCAACAGCATTGCTTGCTCAGGTGTAAAGATCAATTCAGAAAATTTAATCTGTCAAGTTTATAAACACCTGGTCTGTATTGATTATTTGTTTGCAGCAAGTCAGAGATGGGCAATGCTGACAGGACTGTCCGTGGTATAATATTCTTTGCCTTTAAGTAATTTAGCATTTATAATTGTACTTTTAAAGTTTCTCAGTTGTTTTCAAGTGTGGTTGTACATTAGCGTTCTGAACTCAGTAATTTTGTTGAACAACCAACAACTTTTAAAGTTTCTCAGTTGTTTTCAAGTTGTACATTAGTGTTCTGAACTCAATAATTTTGTTGAACAACCAACGGAGCTGATTTATATTTGTAGTTACCTGGCATTGTTTAGGTCAGTCCCTGAAGCTTAAATTACATATTAGATCGCTTATCAGTGGAAGCTGATATTATGTTTGTCTTGCAGAGATGTGATTCCAGCAGACCTTTGTGTGTGAGCAAATAGTTGCAAATGAAGCCAAGTTTACTTCCTCATAAACACAGATTTATAAATCATCAAACAAAGCAAGCTAATTTGCAAACTGCAGGAGGTCTGAAGAGCCCAGGATGTGATCAAAAGTGTTTCGGCACTCTAGGGATCCCCTGTTTTAATGACATGCTATTAACTGTACGTAGGAGGACCTTTCATTTTCTACCTTCAGATAGATCCTTTTTATAGTTCAGAAATTATAAGCAGTTACAATGTATCTCTATCCCCACAACTGTTAATGGGAATTTCACATTAATGGCAAAATCACAAGGCTTTGTTGCCCTCTAAGCATTTGGGATTGTATCATTTGCTCCTGGGAAATATTTTAGTATTCTCCTGTTAAATTTGGTGTTTTGTTTTGTTTTGTTTTGTTTTTTGTTTTGTTTTTTACTGTGTAAGTAGATAAAAGGGTTCAGTTTCAGAGGCAAGTTAGAGTACAATAAATAGTGCTGTTTTTTCAGAAATAGTATTACTTGAAACTCGGATTGTAAAGGAAAATATTATTAATCCAGATTAATGAAAAGGCAGCCTTCATCTTGTATTGGGATAAAATTCTGTCCTGTAAATCACATGGCATAAGGCTGATGAGTCTTATGCCATGATGATGAGTCATAAACGAGATTTCAGCCATAGTGTATGTATACTTTAATTACCTAGGATCTAGGACCTAATTCCCAGAACTAGATACAGATCAAAGAGCTGAAGGGTGAAATCACATGTTTCTAGCCAGGGGTGCCTACAAGGCACGTACCCCACTGCAGTAATGGGCTGGTTTGCTTCTAAAGCCAGTGATAAGGCAATGTCTTTGTTGGAGTGAACCAGCCTGCCCCCAAGAGTGTTCCTACCAGCACCTTCCCTATCAGCTGTCTTTACTTGTTTGGTGCAGGTAGAATTGCTCTGTTTTGGTTCATTTCTAGCATGTGCAATCACTGGAAATGAGGTGCCTGGCAAGATGATGATTCCCCCCCCTTTAAAAAAAAAGCTTTTTCTGTCCCTGGCAAAGCAAGTTGGCTTGCTGAAGTATAAAAAAAGAAAAAGAAAAAGAAAAGAAACAAATTCCCTAGTTTGTCTCTTCTTGTTTCCTCCTGCTTTTAGGAGGAGGCCTTTTAAAAAAAATCTCTAGATAGATAGATACAATGGACCAAATTGGGTTGCTGTGCCATGAGAATGCGAAGATCTCACCACATGGGCTGTGGGATCGCCACCCAACTCTGAGTGACCCTGTTTAGCCTGCACTAGTTTGCTGCAGCCAAGCCACCAAGCCAAGCCCTTGGAAAAGAAAAGGATCAAATCCCCCTGACAGCTGATGATGTCTTACATAGACAGCCTCCTGGATAACATCACTTGCACCCTTCAATAAGGAAAGGCCCTCAGGACTAGAGAAAGGATTGCCACCTTTTGTCCCTAATGATATGGACCAGTACAAGTCACAGAGAGTTTGAGGAGTAATCTGACTAATCAGGCAGATGTGTTCTTTGGTAATTGGGATATAGATCCTAAATCATAGATGCCTGATGACTGGGGCAGAGCAGGGCCCCTGACCCCATCTTGAGGCTGCCTTTACTGCAAATGTAAGGGTCACCTGAAAGATGGAACAAGTTACTGTGATTCCATCATCTGTTGGCTACAGCAATCATGTAAGTTCCTGCTTACCACTCCCAAATTTAATTTTTTAGCCATCAGTCTGACATAATTCTGCTCTGTTCAGTCCTAAATCATGCATAATGTGATGTCTTCCTTAATTTGCATTGCTCTGAACATTTTGCATTGCAACCTCTGCCAAGTCTTACTTCTTAGGGAGCCAGAAAATGAATGCAATGCAAGGTTGCAAGTAATCAGTCCTTTCTTTGAATGGGAAACATCTATGCCTCTGAGCCTTCCAAAAGGTTCAGGGGGATCTGAATCTGGCAAGGAAGAATAGTCTCTTGAGGAATACAGGGCTGAAACAGAGGGAGGCTAGGAAAATGATCAGCAAAGCTGAAGACTGCCTGCTATCGTGTACTTGTAAATAATGTAATAGAATCTTTGTTTTTAAAAGCCAAACCATGAATTTTGTTGTTAAGTTCAATCAATTTTGAAAGCTGTGCTTAGTGATGATTTGTTGGATTGTGAAGTGCTTGCTTCAGAATAATGATTACTCATTTTTTAATTTTTCAGATAGCTAACGGTTTTGTGCAAACCACTGGCTGGCCGAGTGTGGTTACCTGCATTGGCAACTGGTTTGGGAAAGGAAGGTAAGCCTTCTATAATCTGTTTGTTTGGGGCAGATGTGGGGCTATTTGGTCAGACATTACTCACTCTGAACAATCAAGTCTGACTTGCCAGTAACTCAAGTGCACACCTGCCTGCAAGAGTAGTCGTAAATCATAAATGCTATGTTCTTCTGTAAAATAGTGCTATTAAATATTATTTCTTTGATAGGTAATAAAGAAAATGGTATTTAAGAGATTTGAAGTTTAAAGTGGGGAAACAGTAATGTAATATATTGTTGCAGGGAAGTTTACACATAGGCATAATGGCACATTCCAGGCATGCTCTCCTGAAACACATCCTGAGAAAAGAGCTCCTTTGATTTAGCCAACCATACATATTGCACTGTTCATTCAGATGACCTATCAGGTCCCATCTGCTGTTTCACTGTGTACAGAACCAATGCACATGGAGAGACCCTGTATTTCTGGACTGCAGGGACTAGTACCAGGGCTGGCCTCTGGTAGCTACTACTTCTTACACTTGCACAAACTGGTCACTATCCTGTTTGCGCCAATGTAACACAAAGCTATGCCAGCATAAATGGGCCAGGCATTACACCCAGCAACAAGGAATCTTGCATGCCCCTCACAACACTGATTGTGCAGTTAATTGGTGGAAGTGCTTTGGGGTTTGCACTTCCACCTCAGCACTAGTGCATCTATTGCAGGTGCAACCTCAAGTTGCGTGTGCACAGTTGCACAATAGGATTTTAGTCACTGTTTGGGTTGGTTCTGGCCTTATCACCAGTCTTTGTCCTCCTAAACTGACATGCCAGTAGTTCTTGGCAGCCTAGGTTGGCTGGCTGGATCACCTATTTGTCTCCCTGCAACATTTCACAGGCACACAGTGCTATTAGGAAAGACTTTCGACCAAGCACCAGGTCATGCCCTCCAGCAGGCATTGTGTTGCTGCTACTGCATTACAGCAATTGTTGGAGCAGGTGCCAAATACAACAGTAGCCAAGTGGGCTGAGGTGCTGGAAGACCAAAGTGTGTTTGCTGTGCAGTCTTTCTCCTTCCCATAAACAAGCCTGCAGTATTGTCAGGTGCAGTGGATAATATTGTACCATCATCCATGTTGAGCCAAAATTCAGCCACTAGTCTGGTTGACTCTTGTAAATGAAGCAGGGGCAATAGGAATGTTATCCTTCATCTCAGGCAGCTGCTGAGAATTACATAGAACCCAGCACTGCATTTGCCTAGATGGTACCCCAAAGAAGAATTTGAAGGAATTGGGATTTAAATGCACTAATGATTCTGTGTTTTACCATTAGTGTTGATGAGGTTAACAAAGATTTTTTTCCCTTTTGTTTGATTTAGGAGAGGACTGATAATGGGATTGTGGAACTCTCATACTTCAGTAGGGAATATTTTGGGATCTTTAATAGCTGGCTACTGGGTGTCTACTTGCTGGGGTCTGTCGTTCATTGTGCCTGGCATTATAATATCTCTAATGGGGATCGTCTGTTTCCTGTTTCTTATTGAACGTAAGTGTCTATATTGAAATTAATGTATGCAAAATATGTTCTCAGCTGGAATAATATGATTTATCAGCTCTTTTTCTTCATAACACAGAACCCCCTCCCCCTTTCTGTCTGTAAAACAACAACTCCAGCATAAATTTCAGAATGTGCAAAAATAAAACAAAGGGGTTGAGGTGAAAAGTAAGTGAGGGCAAAAAATGTGTATGTAATTCCCAAATTTCACTCTCATCTTCAATTGTGGTTGCAAGTCTAAATTAATTTTATGGATTACTTCTATTTCATATAGTCCAAATACTATAACATTGAATTACATGCAGACAGAAGCATATCCATTTAATAGTAATAATCATTTTTCATTATTGGCTGAAATCCTATTCTTGCAGTAGCATAAAATTACACTTGCAGAAATTCACAGTGTTACGCCTAGGCATCCACATGCCCGATTTTTCCATTAACTGCTCAACTGACCGTGTAACTCACCACACATTGGTTGTGCAACTGATCACACAATTGATTCTGGGAACTTCTTCCTTAATAGGACTTCCACCCTGATACAAATTTTGCAATACTGTAGTTTGCAGAACTTCAAGTTAAACAAATGTAGCGATGTCACAGGACTTCAACCAATGTGTCTCAGTGGCATTTTGGAGAATAATAATATGCACTTCCATAAATCGTATTATCTTCTGCTTTATTTCAGATCCTAAGGATGTGAACTGTGCAAGTACATTGTCATCCAGTGTAAGTAAAGCATTCAAATAATATAATTGATTGCATTTTTTTTCTGTTTTCTTCTGTATTTTTTTTCCATGTTCTGTTTCATAATAGTAGTTTACAACCAAGATATTCAGGGACAGAGAAGAAATAACAATGATTCAAAGTGAAAGTAAGAACAGACAAAAGAAAATATTTCTTTACCCAGTGTGTTGTTAGTCTGTGGAATTCCTTGGCACAGGATGTGGGGATATGGTGATGGCATCTGGCCTAGATGCCTTTAAAAGGGGATTGGACATATTCCTGAAGGAAAAGTCCATCACAGGTTAGAAGCCATGATGGGCATGTATAATCTCCAGGCTTAAAAGGAAGGTACCTCAAAATGCCAGATGCAGGGGAAAGGTATCAGGAAATTGATATCTAATTGTCTCATCTGCTCCCGGAGGCCACTGTGAGATACAGAAAGCTAGACTAGATGGGCCCTTGGCCTGATCCAGCAGGGCTCTTTTTATATTGTTATGGGCTTTCCCAAGCACTAAATTGTGCTTTGGAGATTCAAAATCCAGAACAACAGCTTTGTTTCAGAGGATTCAGGGGTGACTGACCTCAGGGAGCAACAGTAGCCAGCTAACTCAGGATAGACTCAAAGAAGGACTGGAGGTTGGCAAGGGGTAAATTGCACAGCTCTTAGAGGTAAGAGGAAAGAAACTGGGGGAAGCTTTACCTGCACACTAGAAGCGGAGCACTAATTGATAGCACTGAGTTTCACTCACCACACCAGGCCAGAGCCCTTCCTCATCTCTTTTTCATGTGTTTCTACACTGTTCAGACAAATACAAATGTGGACTAATACATTTAAAACCACAGATTATCTTACCAGTTGGGTGTGATCTATAAGATGAATGATTCGGATGACAACAAAGCAGATTTTTTTTTTGCATGCCTCTGGCATAGTCCTTACTGTGGCGTTCACCCTCGTGCCCCTTGCTTGACCATCAAGACTCAGAGCACACAAAGTCAAACAATCCCCTCTTTTACACTGCTGCCACCAGGTGATCACTAAATCACCATTACTTCAGGAAGATGAAGATTCAGGTCCACACGTCAAAGTCTTTCAAATAGAACTTTTGTTTATTGATTACAGAAATTGATAGTGATTAATGAATATCTTCTTTAGATAACTTTATTATTAACAACAATCATATATTTGATAATACACTCCTAAATTTGATCACACCCCAGAATTTCCCAAACTCCACACTCTATCTACTTCTCTCTCTCTCAAACTCTCTTCCTCACACTCTCATACTTCCTCTCTCTCCGACTCAGGCTCCACCTCTTATAAGATCTTGCTCGGCTCCGCCTCTCAGCAACATGAATATATGTGACCAATTACATAACAAAACATGAACCATTGACATAATAAAGGGGAACGCTACACTTACTTTTCCTCATCCCTTGCTTTAAGAGGCTCACCTTGCTTCTCTGAAGGGATTGATTGATTGATTTTTGCCCCACCTGTATGAAGAATAGTGATTTATCTCCATCTGTTGAGAAGAGATGGAAATTTTTTATTTTATTTTATTTTATTTTATTTTAAATATTTTAGCCCATCTTTCTCCTTAAAAAGGATCCAAGGCAGCTTACATCATTAAACGATAATATTTAAAACTAAAAATAGTAAGTATAAATGTACTAGAAAATGTTAAGCAAGCACCACAATAAAAAACAGTAAGCAAAAGCAGCACGAAAAAACACATTCAAAGGGGTAAGGAACAGCAATCCATTAAAAAATGTGTTCAGGCAGCCAGTCACTGTGGGAAACCTTGCCTGAAGAAAAAGGTCTTTGCCTGCTTACGGAAGGGCAACAAAGATGGAGCCTTCATGTGGGAGGAAGTTCCAGTCTAGGAACAGCAACAGAAAAAGCCCTCTCCCATGTCGCCACCAAATGCACTTCTGAAGGTCATAGGACTGAGAGAAAAGTCTCCCCTGATAATCTGAACACTCAGACAAGCTCATGAAAGGAAACACAGTCCTTAAGATAGCTTGGACCCAAGCAGTTTAGGGCTTTAGAGGTTAGAATCAGCACTTTGACTTGTGCCCGGAAATGGATCGGAAGCCAATGGAGCTGCTGTAACAGAGGGATTATGTGATCCCTGTGACTAGCCCCAGTTACCAATGTGGCTCTACATATTCCAAGTTGGAAAACAAGTGGGCAGATAAGGTATTGTGGTATTTAAAGACCACCAGATTTCTTTCCATGTGAGCACCTACACAAGTGGAATCTGATCCAAGGAAAACTCACATGGAAGCAAATCTGTTAGCTGTAAAGGTGCCACAATATCTTATTCTCTTTTTCTCACTTTTTTTGTCAATATGCTGAAACAGAATTAAGAGAGATGTGTCTTTAGAAATAGCATGTTTAATGACGTTTTCTGTTGGCACTGCAGAAAAAATTAAAAGGCCTTAAGTTTAACCTTAATAATGTTTATATTGGAACATCCAGTTAATATAAATGAAACTTGCTACTAGACAGGACTTGTCATTTCAGTGTTCTTAATAATGCTTCTAAAATATTTTTCAGGATTCAAAAAGTTATTTGAATGGGTCAAATAGATTCATCGTTCTGAAACCAAAATTAATAACTATGAAAACAAGCACATATGAGGTAAAAGAAAAATGCTTTCATAGTTAGTGTTTTGAGAGCTACAGTATAAAAATGGGGCTGTTTGGTATTCTTAATCACATTTGCTTAAACACAATTGTTCTAGCTGTCTTTGTTTGGAAAAGGCCATATCACAAATTTATTTCATGTGTTCCTGAGGAATCCTTGGCTGAAACAGTTACAGAAATGATATACCCTGTTTCTCCAAAAATAATACCTAACCTGAAAATAAGCCCTAGTATGATTTTTCAGGATGCTCATAATATAAGCCCAACCCCAAAAATAAGCCTCCACCATTGTGCAGGCACCAGAAGAAGAAGATGGCATGACCGTATTTGAATAAATGTAGATTGTTGTGCATCAGAAAATTAAATCACCTGAAAATAAGCCCGAATGCATTTTTGGAGCAAAAATTAATTTAAGACCCTGTCTTATTTTCGAGGAAGCATGGTAGTTATAGAGGTGAATTGTTGTAAGTTAAGAAATCTCTATAGACCTTATCTGGTGCATAGAAATGAAGATTTCTCAACTGACAGCGGTATGTTTCCAAAAGTTACCCCTTTTGTTTTCTACACAACAGGATTACAGCCATTGCATATTTTGGCCTTTGTTTTGTTTTGCCTTTATAGAATGGGAGCCTCCTTTTTTAAAAAAAAAACTTTCTTACTATATGTATACGAACAAAATCTTCTCTTACATCCCCATGTATATGTTTATTATTAGGATAAAGAGGATAAATATGGCTCAACATGTCTGAGTACTGGTTATTAGAACTCTGTATTAAATATTCGTTCTGTTAAATGTTCTAAAGTTTTAACGCACTATATTGTTGCAGTTAGTTTGCTTATAGAGATGTTTCAGAAGCCTGTACATAGTGCAAAATAAATGAATGCAACAGAGAGCTTCTAACTACAGCTTACAACAATGTTCACTAGTGGAACATAAACTAGAAATGTTTGTATGAACAGAAGTGTCCCTGTTTTCCTTTGTGAGGTGTCAAAAGTCTTTAAATACATAATTATTTATTTGATGTTGAATGCAAATTGTGCTAATGCTACATTTTATTTTATTTTTTGCAAAGTTCAGTGTACTCTATCTTATTCAATACTTTATTGGATGTAAAGTTAACCGTACTGTCATAACAAGCATAACAGTTCAAGGCCCTTGTATGCAGTGAACAAAATATGCTGGCTGCATGTACAAAACCCAGTTAAAAATATTTCTAACATGCAAACAAAGAGAAAATAGAGGGGGCCATGTTGTTCTTCACTCCGTATTTAATACTGATCTTCTGCGCATATTTATTACTGTTTCTACATGAAGATAACTTTGCATGCTCTCTTTACATTAAACAAATTTCAAGCTACTTTACTTTTAAATGTTCAGAACTAATGAGACTTATTTGCTGACAGCAGAAAGTTTAATGCAGAGTTATATGGAACATTACAGTAGAGAATTCTGAAGTGTGCTCTGGTGTTTGGTATTTCATTATTTTGAAATGCAATCTGTATAGCACATGAATGGGAAAAGCATCATTGTCTGAAAAATGTTTCTCTAAAAATCTATTTCTCTAGCTGATATCCTTATTATTAGGCTCAGCCAGAGTATCATAGAATAATGGAATTGGAATCCAATAATGGAGGAAAAATGGAGGAATCTAAGTTAAAATATATCTGACAGACGGCTTGCTTAATTTTCTCTTGAATGCCTCCAGTGTCTGAGAGTTCAACACCTCCCAGAGTCATTGGTTCCATTGTTGTACTTCACCAACAGAAAGTTTTTCGTGATATTCAACCAAATCTGGCTTCTTGTATCTTGAGGCGATTATTACATGTCCTGCACACTGGTGTATGTGACAATCTTTCCAGTATTTCAAGACTGGTATTTTTAAATAAGTGCCAATGCAAGAAAACTTTAAGACAGGAGCAGCTGATATCCCAAGAAAACTTAACAAAAGCTAACAGGTAGAAGTGCCGCTAGGTGTAGCTTGACCGGCAGAAACACACCAATAAGGATACATAATCTAATGATACAGACTCTCAAAAGTGCACAGATTAGCCCAAAACAATGCAGCACTAGGGTCCACATGAGTAGAGCATGCTCTGGAGCAAAGCGGGGGGCGGGGAATCACCACTGTCTAATGATGTTAAAAAACTGGAAAGAAAATGTTTTGTCCTGCTTTGACTCTGTTGACATCCGTTTCGGCTGTGTATCGTGTGGACACAGCTGGAAATGTAATGATATCATGGGTACAAGGAAAGCTGAAGAAATGCTTAGTGTCAATGAACTCTATATTACTTGTAATTTGTTACTTCCAAGCTCTGAGGCAGATTTTGGCCAGGGCAAGGGAGAGTCCCCAACATTTGAGACTGAAATGCTGCCCCCCACAGCCTAGTGCTTCAGCCACACCTCCTATTGATAGAGTATCTATACAAAAAGATCTGTTTTCTTCTGTATTGTTATTCTTACATAATTTGGGGAATTAATCTTCCCAATATGCAAAGGTTGTTGAATGAAGAAATTTGTTCAACAAGTTAGATTTAGTAGCTAGTTTACACATTTGAAGTAGTTATTAATAATTGCAAAGACAATTATTTTGAAATCTTGAGTGTGTTAATACATTTTCTTTGACAATACTGAGGCATTCAACTGTTTTTTCCTTTAACTCCAGAAGCAAATCTGCTTGTTCAGTTATAGTGTGGCTTGTTTCTGAAGAATATACTTTTTTTTTGGATTAGGGATTATGCTGTCTGTCTCCTGAGCAAAGACCCAGAAGAAGGTGTCCTCACCTGGGTGGGCAAAGTTTCTTGTCAAGAGGTTTGTCCTCTTGGTACCAGCTAATAGTTGAAATCGTATTGCTCTGCTATGCAGGCAGAAAGTGTAAGATCCACTCATTTCTAGCCAGCAATTAAAGAGTCACTGCCACAGTTCTTCAGAATGCACACATATGTTAGTTTAGCGCCCACTCAAAATTCCCAACTATCTGAAGAAGTGGATTGTTCATGAAAGCTCACATTAAAATATAGCAAGTAGTGTTCAAGGTGCCACAATGTTTTTATCTTTATTTTTTCATTTTTGTTTTGTTTTTGCCTGACAACAGGGACTTGTTAACTGGCAACTGAAACTGAGTGAATGCCATGCCTTTTGCCTTCCACTTGCATAGCAAAGCAACAGGATTTCAGCCAATAAGATAATATTTCAATGTCTGAGTTGATTAATATGGCATGTAGCCAATCATTTTGCCAAACATGTCATTAGCAAATTGGTTCTCTCTACAGATATGGTTCTAAAACCAGATGTACGTGGGCTCACTAATGTTTTGAAAACACAAATAGTATATGTTTTCCAATTAACATTTTAAAGATCCAACTTTTTTGCTATTTGTAATTCATTAAAGTTTTAAAATTATTTGGTTCATAAAGAAGATATGAGTCTCATATCTTCACTGAGTTTGATTGGGTCTGTTGTAGGATCCAGAGATGCACTGCCTGCTACCTGACAATGAGAACTGCACAAAACCACTGCATCATAACAATGAAATATTGGAGGGACTTGAAAAAGGAAAGTCTGCTATAAGTTTCAGTGGAGCTTTGCGAATACCTGTAAGTCTGTCAACATTATCTAATTGAAATTATGACTTGCTCTTCTACCAGAGAAAGCACAAACATCAGAGACACTTGCTGTGTCCTGTACTAAAGCCGAATCTTAGTACAGTACTGAAATAAGGGAACAAAAGTTGTCCCTTTGCCTCCTTCTAGGCTTTTTGTGCCAATCCTGTAAGTTGTAGTCTCCACATTAGATATTTCAGAAAGACGCTTCACTTGTATTGAAATGATCCTAATGTAAGCAAACTGCACAATATGCTTAATCTGCGTTTTTTTCATTTTGTTTCATTTTTTAAAAAAATAACTTCTGTCTTTCATTCTCTGTAGGGAGTGGTAGAATTCTCTCTCTGCCTGCTATTTGCTAAACTGGTCAGCTATACATTTCTTTTTTGGCTTCCACTATACATCACAAACGTAGGTGAGTATCTGTGTAGGCTTGGTGGTCATAGAAGAAGCTTGTTCCTATGCTTAACAAAAGAGAGAGAGAGAGAGAGAGAGAGAGAACGATGCAGCAATCTCTGTTGAGAAATGAGATGTTGTATATCATACACCGTTACTAAAATAGAAATGTAGCCACACAATGTTTAAATTATGCCTCAATCCAAGAAATGTGTAAAAATAGGACGGCACTTGTTTCCCCTCTGGTGCTACATACCAATCTCCTCATTAAAACCTGAACTTAAACATAGGCTCTATTATAAAACCAACCCATCTGTTATGCAGGCCCATAAAATATTTCCAGTTTGCATCATATGACTAAGCCATTGATGTAACTGGGATGGTAGAAGAATAAATATTGCTGAGCACTGTCAGCTGTGGACTGCACAGTAGAGCTGTGAGTCTTCTTTGTGGCTCATCAGTTTTGGAGTGTTCCTCTGCTCTTGCAAACCATAGGCAGAGGACTTTGCAAACACATTGCAGACAGAGACAGTCTTGTGGCACCACAAAGTCCCTTGCACGTTACAGCATAAAATTCCTGGTCTAGAGCCTATTTACAAACCCTAATTTTCCCTGTACCCATGTGTCTAGGTAATGGAAGATTTCAATGGAAGATTTCATGTCTCTGATGAAATGGCCTCTAGTCACAAATGGGCTCATACGCCACATAATGTTTGTTAGTCTTTAAAAAGACGTAAGGATTTGTTGTTGTTTTTTGGGTGCTAGTATTGGCGTGTGCAGGAAGCTGTCTCTTTCTTCCCTGTCCCATCCCACAGAGCTAATACAAATTTTGGAAGTGGGGCGGAATACCTTGGAAAAATTATATTTGCAGTAAACTAACTTATCCAGTCTCCAAAGCAATCCCACGGGTTTGCTAATCCTCAGAAGAAAAGCAGCAGGAGAACCTAATCATTTTCAGGAGATCCAAATAACCACACAATATATAGCTTGGTCCTGAATAGCCTGGAATTATTTTATTGTGAATGCATTGTAATATGTATTCCTAAACCTTTGGTGTGTCTACTTTGCTTGTTACGTATGTATTCTGCATTTTAAATACTTTGAAGCCTCAGTGCAGTGTATTTGAATTCCAAGACCATCTCTGTTCCAGGTGCTGACGACTAGCCACAGACCTGCTTAGCTTTAAAAGTATGGTTTTCTCCTGTATCTGCAGACCACCTTCTGTAACAGGAGTAGATTTAAGGATGAAACTTTGTGTAGAAGAGAAAAGGTGCTGTGAGCTTTCTCATAATTTCATTAAGCCCTTAGGAAAGCTAATGTTTAATGTGCTATGTTAGGGTTCCCACTTCCTTTTCTCTGCCTAAGGGCAAATTAGGTTTCATTTATATTTTAGAAGAACTGTGTAGGAACTGTTTCACAAGAAGAGACAGTCCATTTCTGTTTTAATGAGGCACATGTGCAAAGCATTAAATGTATACTCTGTTCTTTTGTGTCTTTTATTCAGACCTGGCAGAACACTGCTCAGTTAGGAATGAGAAGCAAGAAATGTATTCAAATATCAAAAACTAAATAGGATCCAATGCAGAGTCTCTCTCTCTCTCTCTCTCTCTCTCTGTGTGTGTGTGTGTGTGTGTGTGTGTGTATTCGTAGATCAACCTTATTATGTTGAATTTTCTTTGGCCACCTCTCAGTTTTAATATTGGGTATATGGTACAAAGACATTTGTACAAGAGTTTATTATAATTCCAAATTGATCGCTGGCATACAGTAACTTAATTCCTCCTTATCTGAAGAAATAGGATTATGGGAAGGCAATTTGCACCATTGTTGAAATAGTTGTTCAGTGTAATCTGAAAAATGAACACACTGTTTCATGAATGAATGAATGAATATTTCTAGATTATTTTTTATTTTTCACCACAGAGCATCTTGATGCCAAGAAAGCAGGTGATCTTTCCACACTATTTGATGTTGGAGGAATCTTTGGTGAGTCTGCAACTATGTGTTTCTTTATTACTTTAAAATGTATAGAAAACATATATTTTTAAATGGATATTGTTAAACATTTGGGGCCAAACAAAATACAAATTGCTTGGCTCACCATTTAGAAATGGAATTCTTAAAGAGACCAAAAAAAAGCCTGTCTCTTAGAACAAGTTTTTTCCCCACCAGTTAATCTTGAAAAACACATTTCATGTTGTTATTTTTTCAGTTACTGGGAGGTGCAAATTTGACTGGTCACTAGCAGGTGCAAATGGGCATGACTGCTCTTATGTGTGTGGTTCTCCCCTGTTTGTTTGTCTGTTTGTTGTCTGTTTGTCTGTTTGTCTGTTTGTTTGTTTGTTTGATTGATTGATTGATTGATTGATTGATTGATTGATTGATTTCTATCCCACCCATCTAGACCAAAGGTCTACCCTGGGCAGTTTACAAATAGGATTTTGCCCATAATGTGCATTTCTGAAGTCTGGTGTGGAGTTCATGCTGATATCACTGAACCAGGAGACCTGTTATAAACTACATTGTCTGCCTGTAATAGAGTAACCATCAAACTTTATCCATCATTCAGAATTAAAAATAAACTGCAGTTTCAGTTTTAAATTCTGCCTCAATGCCCATTTATACCAGTCATGGGGTAAGCAATTTAGAGGAACTCTATTAGATATTAAACATTATCACCTCTGGTTTGAATATTGCACTTATGTGCCATCAAGTCACCTTCAACTTATGCCAGTCCTATGAATGAGTTACCTCCAAAATATTATACATTAACAGCCTTGCTCAGCTCTTGCTACCTCAGTGTCATGGCTTCCTTCATGGAATCAGTCCATCTCATATCTAGTCTTCCTCTTTTCCTGCTGGAGTCAAACTCATATCCAGTCTTCCTCTTTTCCTGCTGGAGTCAACTTTTCCTAGCATTTTTGTCTTTACTCTTGATGAACCCAAAGCAAAACAGCCTCAGTGTGTTTTTGATTATTATTTCTAGGGAGAGTTCAGGCTTTAGTTGGTCTAGGATCTACTTATTGGTTTTTCTGGTAATGCTGGTGTTGATGTTGCACTACTGACAGTGTAAAATGCTGTTACTTAACACTTAAAACACCGGGAGTGTTTCAGTCATGTTCGCAATGCCCCATTTTCAGAGAGAAAATATCATGGAGACATGAGAGATACATTGGAATAAATAAATAAATAAATAAATAAATAAATAAATAAATAAATAAATAAATAAATAAATAAATAAATA